TAAATGCTCTCTTTGGTTTTTTTCAAGATTTTATTAGGTACTTTTAAAAAAATATTTTTATTGTTTGAAAATTTCATGTATGTATACAATGTATTTTTTACCAAATCTATCCATCTACTCCTTCCCCTTCAACTCCTCCCATAACCCACCACCACCACCACATCCAATATCATGTACTCTTTTTTTAATATTTTATTTTTACTTTATGTGTATGAGTGTATTGCCTACATGTATGTAACTGCACCCATGCCATACAGTGCCTGTGAAAGCCAGAAGATGGCATTGGATCCCCTGGAACTGGAGTTACAGAGAGTTGTTAGCTGCCACATGGGTGCTGGAATTAGAACCCAGGTCCTCTGCAGGAGCAGCCAGTGCTCTTAACTGCTGAGACATCTTTCCAGCCCATCTTTTTTTTAATCTACTGAGTCCATACTGCCAGTATGCACATGGAGGTGTACCCCACCATGATGAACTCTTATCCCTCTGGAACTGTAAGCCAAATAAACTGTTCCTTCTATAATTTGCCTTGGTCATAGTGTTTTATCACAGCAACGAAAAGTAACTAATACACTCTCCTTCTCCCAGAACCAGTCAACTGGCAATAGTTCCTCAAACAGGGGTGGGACTTCCTGATCCCCTCCCATCCATGCTGACTTGGTCTTATGCAAGTTTTGGATGGCTTGATCTTGTGCAAGTTTTATGCATGAAATCAGCTGCCATGAATTCTTGTGTGTAATGGGCTTGTAATGTCCAGAAAATACTGTTTCATAGCAGTCCTTGGAACTTCTAGCTCTCACAGTCTTCCCCTTTCCTGCCTCCTATGATGATCCCCAAGCTTTGGGAGAAGGGGTCCCACTTAGGGCTGAGCACCCCACAGTCCATTAGTGTCTGCACTTGAACCAGTTGTTGGTCTCAGTACTAATATCCATGTACTATAAAAAGAAACTTCTCTGATGAGGGTTGAGAGATTCTAATAAATGCAATTTTACTCATTCTTTCCCCATACTTTGGCCTTTTATTTCTTATGTTATTGCACTGGCTCAGCCCTTCATCAGTGCTAAATATTGTTTCCCATTTTAGGCTACAATCATGCAGTATCCCCCTTTTAAGCACTCTAGATTGGAGGTTGTTTTCGTCCAGCACTTTAGTGGTTGCATTTCATTGTGGGTGTGCTTCTATCTCATTACTCCTCTTTCAATATTTGTCTCTGCTTTTAGGTTTTCTCTTTAATTCTCAACAGTTTTACTATGTGCTTCTGCATGATTTACTTTGATTAATATTTCCCGTGAATGTTTATACACTTTCTAAGAACTATCACCAAATTTGGAAAATTCTTGAACATTATTTGTTCTAATATAGCATTTGACCTTTTCTACTTTATTGACCATTTTTATCCAAGTTACTTCAAAGTGTCTGTCAGGTAACTCAAAATCTGGATCATTTGTGTGGTTTTTCTTTAACCTCATTTATTTTTTTCAGCCATGTAATCCTGGAAGGTTATTTGTTTACATGCCTAGTAATTTTTTATTGGTGTCTAGATATCATGAAGATAAAGTTGTAGGCTGTGTTATTCTTCTCTGGAGAGGCCCACCCTTCCCTCTGGTGGCAGATTTCCTAATGCCAGTCAGTGACTGCTGGACTGCTGGACTGCTGATTGCAGTCCTGGAAGCTCCCTCTACGTCAAGTTCATGTGTGGTCTTCCAGTGTTTTCAGCTCATCCTGTTGAATTTTTTCAGCTCTTCTCCTCTAGTACAATAATCAACTCAGTATCTCATGACCCATGTGGAAAAGACTGCTTTGCACCAAGAACTGCAGTATCTGAGGTTTCTGTATCTGAGGCTGTTGTAACAAAATTCCTTGGACTGATGATTTATAAACCAAAATGAATTGTTTATAGTTCTGGAGGCTGGAAAGTCCCAGATTAAGGTACCAGAAGATCTGGTGTATGGAAAGGCTCATGCCTCATAGAAAGCACCTTCTGTTCATCCTTCATCCTTCATGGCAGAAGAAACAAAGAGGCTCCCTTAGGCAGGCCTATTGTACATTCATGATGGTACAATCATTACAGCCTAATTACCTCCCAGATGCTGGGTCTCCAACACCATTGCTGTGGGGATTGAATTTCAACATACGAATTTTAAGGGGACACAAACATTCAGACCATAGGAATCAGAGATCATTTTGAGGCTACATTTTTGGAAAGCCACCTCAACATTCAAACTGCTGTGCCACATAGCATAGGGAGGGCCTAAGACACAAGCAGTACAAGAATTACCCACGGCTCAAAAAGAAGGGGATTTACTGAAAAGCATTGCAAAGCAGACAGCAGGTGAGCCAGAGCGGGAATTGTGTGACTGAGAAGGGATGGAGTCTTTTCTAGCAGTTGAAGAAGAAGATGCAAAGCAGACAGCAGGTGAGCCAGAGAATTGTGTGACTGAGAAGGGATGGAGTCTTTTCTAGCAGTTGAAGAAGAAGTTATTAGTCTTATCTCATGGCCATCCACATCTGTATAGATAGGCAGAAATGGCATTATCTTGTTATGTATTAATTTTTACAACCTGAGTTGTTTTCCTTGAGACTAGCCATTTGTTCAGGCACTGAACATTATGAGTCAGGTTCCAGATGTCAATACGAGGCATAAGTTACTAGGGCTTGGACTTTAAGTATTCATGACCTAATTGTTAAAGTATGAGAATTCAGCTTTTATTTTTGGCACTTCATCTCTACATTTCCCCCTCTGACTGAGGTGAAATTGTGACAAAGGATGAACAGCTGTCTTCTGGTCTTCACAGCTGAGCAGTGGTCTAGAGGGAGCCCTGATCAGTATTTCTGATCTGCCATAGGTTAAAGCATAGAAGACTTGTATAGAGGGGAGAGAATAGCTATTGAAAAAGACTGAAAACCAGACTGTGTCATCATGTGGACATCTAGAGGTATTTGGTGGTGAAACACAGGTGTTGATGCTGATGGCAGTGGTTGCTGTCTCTGACACAGTGCCATCTGGAGCTTAGTGGCATGTCTGAAATCTGTTCCAGCCAGGTGTACTGTGATCTCCAGAAATAAACCTGACTAGTCATTGAAGGAAGCAGGAACTGAAAATGTTGAGTGATGAAAGAAATTTCATTAGAGGTAAGAAGGGCCAACCATGGCCACACCCTCTAAAGGACGGATGGTGAAACTGGCAGTTAAAGGAAAGAACAGTATAACAGGCCTGGCATGAAGGAAAACATTGCCTGTTAGCAAAGAGAGGAGAAAGGCAAGAGTGTACTGTATCCTGGGGGAGGAAGGTTGGAGTTTGTTTCTTGTATTTCAGTGTTGTTTGTTTAATTAAATTTTCTTCTTTTTTTGAGAACTTCATACATGAGTACTGTATTTATATTCCTCCCTCTCCCTCCCCTACAACCCCCCAGCTCCCTCTTAAATTCATGGCCACTTTTTTCATTATTATTGTGATATATATATATATATATGCATGCACATATACAGCCTGCTTGTATATTTAGTGTTGCTCATATGTACATGTGTTTCGGGCTGCCCACCTATCAGGGGACTCATCCCTAGAGAACCTGCTTCCCCTTCTCTCAGTAGCCATTGATTGCTAAAGCTCTTTATCTAGGGGCAAGGCCTTGTAAAATTCCGCCCATCCACACTGGTATGTCAACTGATGTCAGCAGGTACCTCTTGTTTAGGCAACAATTCTTTTTTTTTTTTTTTTTTTTTTTTTTTTTTGTCTTTTTGAGAGAAGGTCTCCCTGTAGCCCCAGCTGTCCTGGAACTCACTATGTAGACCAGGCTGGCCTTGAACTCACAGAGATCTGCCTGCCTCTGCCTCCAAAGTGCTGGGATTAAAGGCGTGTGCCACCATGCCCGGCTATTTTATTTTTTATATGTATGAGTGCTTTGTATGTATGTATGTGCACCATATGTGTATGTGTGAAGGCCAAAAGAGGGTATCAAATCCCCTGGAACTGGAGTTATAGATGGTTGTTAGCTGTCATGTGGGTGCTGGGAACTGAACCTGGGTCCTCTGCAAGAGCAGCCAGTGCTCTTAACCACTGAGCCATCTCTCCAGCCCTGAGGCAACCATATTGTTGTGATTTCAAGGATACACCTCCCCTATCTTGTCAGGAAGACGGCATCCTGGTCCTCTGGCTCTTACAGTCTTTTCACCTTCTCTTCCATAATGTTTCCTGAGCCTTAGGTGTAGAGGTTGTATTGCAGATGTATCAACAGAGGCTGAGCTCCACACAGTCACTTATTCTCTGCATTATGACTGGTTGTGTCTATCTATGGTAGCCTCCATCTGCCACATAAAAGAAGTTTCTTTGGTGAGGTATAGGAGTTACACTTACCTGTGGGTATTTAGAATATAGTTAGAAATAGTATTGTTTAGGAAAATGACAATAGTAGTTTCTCCTCTAGGGTCTATGATCTCTCCAGCCACATGTAGTTGGCTATGTTTACAGCAGCAGGCATGAATTCTCTCATGTTGAGCAGGCCTTAAGTCCAATTAGATAGCTGTTGTTATACCCAAGATAAAAATGCTACTATTACGGGGCTGGAGAGTGTCAACTATGCCCAGTTAGGATTGGTTTTGAGTGTAACTCTGTTCAGTCTTTTTAGTGCTTATTCTAAATATTATAGCATATCCACTACCTTACCAAAACCAACTCATGTTGATATTTAACCACCATTAGTGAGGTGTATGCATCTTACCTGCCTTTCATGTTCCTTTATTCTCTACCGTTCATCTGATTGTCTTGAGTACTCACTCTGCAGACACTGAAACAGGCAGTGTTATAATTTTGCTCTCAGGAGAAGAAAAGCTATTATATTTGCCTCTAGTCTCCCTATATGTAATTTGAGAAAAGGTCCAATACCCCCACCACCTTCCCACTGAGGTTCTCAAGGAATTCTCCCATCCATACTTGTGATTGTGTGGCACATGTGCCTTTCTCTGCCTTTTCTGGACCTCTGTTCTAAAGTCAACTTTTGTTCCAGGTCGCCTGAACTGGTGGTCTACAGTGTGCACAAGCTGTAAACGGCTCCTTCCTTTGGCCACAACAGGGGATGGGAACTGCCTCTTACATGCCGCCTCACTGGGTAAGCTCCCCAGCACAGACGGAGGGCTCCAAGCCTGCTTGGTGCATGATTAACAAGTAGAGCTACCCATGCTGCTGTCATCTGGAATAGTTCCCATGAGATTCTGGCCCTTATGGTCAGTCATCTAGGTAGGCTGGTGAAGATACAGAACACATCTGGGGGAATACCTTCCTTGCTAGAAGGAGACTTGGAGCAGAGCTTCAGGGATGGTATTTAGAGATGGTGCTCTGGAGTAATCTAAGAGCACTTCCTGGGGGGTGCAGAATCTTTACCAAGCCTGGAGAGCAGCGCATGATGCTAGGTAGTTGTGAATCTGCAGTGTGAACAGCAGTGTATAATAATGACAGGTATAAGCATCCTCTGGTAACAACAGAGGAATCATCACAACCAGATACACAGCAGACACCTTAGCAGCCATTCCCAAGGAGCCACATCATCACTGCACAGGTATGCATGGCAACATTAGGCTAACTGAAGGTCACAGTGTACTTTCTAGAAGCTCGGTCATCCCCTCTTGGCTCAGTATCCCATGCACAGGACTGACTCCATGTGACAGAGAAATCTAGAATTGTACCAGCCCCCCCCCCGGCAACATCAGGCCCCATCAGTCCTAGAAGACAGTCTCTGTCAAAGGGACAGGACCCTCAGATGAGAATATGGTCCTTGCTTGGCAAGATGTCTTCCCAGATAAGTGTGAGCTACATAAGAGCTCGCGCCTCATTTAGATCACAATGAGAACTGCTCAGCAAGAAGCAGGCCGAGAGGATTCTAAAAAAGACTTGAAGGAAAGTGCATCAGGGCGTGGAAAGGTTCAAGGGAGGCCCAGAGGAGACCAGAGACCTAGAGTGAGGGGAGCAGTCCACAGGCATGACAGCAGCATGGGAAAGATGAAGACATCCACTTCCTGCTTCCTCCCCAGGACAGCCACCACACACTGCAGCCAGCGCTGAGAAGTTCTGCTTTAGATGGACATGACAGTGCACACCTTTAATCCCAGCACTCAGGTGGCAGAGGCAGGTCGATCTCTGTGAGTTTGAGGCCAGCCTGGCCTACATACCAAGGTCCAGACCAGCCAGGGCTACATAATGAGGCCCTGTCTTTTTTTTAAAAAGTCCTGCTTTCATTTTTTAATGACTTTATTATAATGAATTCACAAATAAATACATCACAGAGCTAATTTAAGGAAGTCACTCCAATATTTGTCCCAGTCCCAGACTCTCTGCATCTTAGTGAACTTCTACACAGTTAGTATGGCCAGTCTAAAGCTATAGAGCTTCACTGGGGGTTTTGCATTTTCACTATCAATTATGTTCAGTGGACTTATCCATCACAAGCAAAAGAGAAGACTATGACAAAGTTTACCCTAGGAAAAAAAGGCCTGCTGCTGGCATTAGGAGGTGTGCGTCATCATGTGAGAACTAGTCAGTAGCCCCTACTCTGCCAGCCATTGTCAACACTGCTGTGCACCACCTCCCCACCTTTTGCCTGATCTTTAAATGAAACTATAATCTGAATATGTTCACAGTTCAGAACCCAACATTTTCTACTTGATCTTCTTCAATGTGTTTACTTTTAATTGACACACAATAATTTTACATATTTATGCAATATAGCTATCTTAAAATTTCACTGAAAATTTCCATGTCTTCTCTGAAAACTAATTTTAGTCATTGGGTCTTGTTTCATTAGAATGCCTAATATTAATAATTTTCCTAGCATTGAAACCTGAAGTCTTATTGAAAAGGCTCCAGCATAGGGTTGGCTTTGTCCTTCAGACACCTAGAATACAGAGCCACCTCCCCAACAGCACCCCAAGGAGTACATGTCCCCTGTGAGCATGATGCCTTGCTCAGTCTAAGGAGAGGTGAAGCCATGGCCGGCCAGGCCTGCAGGCTTGCTAAGAATCCCTTACAAAGCAGGGGGCTTGGAGCCCACAGGCCATTGGTCCTTCGTCCTTTTATCTCATTACAGGTTGTGTAACCCTAACCTGAAAATCCAAAATCTAAAACTTTTATGAGAGCAGAAATAGGAAATTCCACACCATAGAACCCTGTTTCACATGCAAAATCATTTTAAAATGTCATATAAATTGCCTTTAGGATATATGTACAAAGTGCATAATAAACATAAAGTAATTTCATGTTTAAACTTGGGTCCCATCCCCAAGGTCTCCTTGTATGTTCAATATTCCAAAATGAGAAGTTCTTCTGGCCCCAAGCATCTCAAATTAGTGAACCTCAGCCTGTGCTTGGTTTCATTTTGTGCTGACACAGCTAAACTCCACACATCCAGGACTACCAAAGCAGCTGTGTGACACCCACACCAGCACTGTGGTGAACCCCTTACTAGGCCAACACTAAGCAGGATTATTGAGTACACCCAGAAATGACAGTCACTGGGGCTAGAGAGATGGCTCAGCAGTTAAGAGCTCTTGCTGCTCTTGCAGAGGACCCAAGTCGGTGCCCAGCACCCATGTTGGGCAGTTCACAACTATCTGTAACTCCAGCTCCAGAGGATCTGACATCTCCTGGCGTCTGCAGGCATCTGCACACACATCTACATACCCACACAGACAGACAGACAGATAGACACACATACACACAAATAAATAGATAAACAAATAGGTAAATAAATAATAAAAATATTTTTTAAAAAAGAAAAAAATGAAATGACAGATGTCCTGGAGTCACGTAAGCAAACATGTTTGAGTCAAGGAAACCCTGTGTGAGAAGGACTTGCAACCATGGGAGCAGAGCCTGTCCAGAGAGTCACGGAAAGCTGTGGAAATAGGTCTGAGAGGAGAAAAGAGCAATGATGGTCATTTCTCCCTATCTGTGCTGCAGGGAAAGACAAACGCCTGGGCTGCCACAATGCCCACAGCAGTCTTTGGTCATCAGGTATCTGGGGTCACAGCCATTGGTCAATTCAGGTCACACTCCAGAGGCTCCCAGCTCACTTGCAACTGCCTATTTCTCCTCTGCCTCATCCCCTCCGTCCTGAGCCTAGCCGCCTTTCCTTCTTGCCTTTGCTCAAGTGCACCAACCCCTAGGCAGAGCCTTCTGCCTGGCATGGTACCTCCACTCCTTCCTTTACCCATCTGAGCCTTTCTGATGATGCTTCATCATAACAGATGCCACTTGTCTTCTTCACGTGCATCATCTTTCTTCATGTTGTAGGCATTGTATATTATGTGCTCATTTAATGCCTACCTTGCTTCTCAGTTTCCTACAATATGTTTCTGTCAGATTTTAGGAACCTTATTATGCTATGAATATTCCCATTGGATGGATGGATGGATGGATGGATGGATGGATGGATGGATGGGTGGATGGGTGGATGGATGGATAGATGGATGGATGATGCATGGATGGAGTCCTCCCTCCTTCCTTTGTAGCCAGGGCCCCACCTCACTTCAGTGTTCTCACTGACTGGGTTTCCTGACCATGTCTCGGCCACCCACAGGATTTACTCAGAGATGGCTGGTTCATCTTTTTAGTCCTCAGCACCCAGCTCAGTGGAAACTGTCTCCCTGGGAAGCAGAATCTGTGTCATGGCCCAAATGGGTACACGGGTGCCCACTGACCTTCTGCTTCCCAGAGTGCTCATATGCCTTAGGCTAGGCCTTACACAGCACATCTAACAGAACTTAGGGAAGCCAGGATACTATTGGCCAGCCTAACATGGGACCCTCCATGAGGACATGTCACCAACTTGTCCTCAAAGGCACTCTCCCACCCAAACACAAGACCTATGGTGAGCATTAGGCTTCTCAGAGAGAACCTACAAGAGATAGTCGTCAGCCTCAGGTCCCACCACTCACCCACCCTTTTTCCGGTTCTTAGGACAGGAAGTGCTGCTTCTCATGCATTTGAGCCGATAGGAAGCACAGGGAACAGAGGGAAGGGAATTGTGAGCCTGTGGTGAGACCAGACAGCCACCTGACATGGCGGTACCTTCATATGTACCCATGCAGGAAGCCAGCCTGGTAGTTGTGTCACCTAGGGCTTGTCTCTCCCTCGTGTCCCTTCTCCTTCCCTTTCTCCTCATGACCTCCTGGCTGTAGGAATGTGGGGCTTTCATGACCGAGACCTGGTTTTGCGGAAAGCTCTCTATACCATGATGAGGACGGGTGCTGAGCGGGAAGCCCTGAAGCGGAGGTGGAGGTGGCAGCAGACACAGCAGAACAAGGAGGTTGGTACCCCACATCAGGTGCAGACTCAGCCTGTGCCACAGTCCAGAGGAGCCCCGGTACAGTACACAGCCCAGGTGGACAGCAGCTGCCTTGGGGGCTCACACATGCTGGTGTGGTTAGCAAAGCTGTCCACCTTCACTCTCAAAGAGTCCCAACTTGGATAATAGGTTATACAGTCATCCACTGTTATGTGCCACTCTTCGCTTCCAGCCACTGTGTATGACCTCAGTCTAGAAAAGATCCTAGCAGCCCCTAAACAGGGTGACATTGGTGCTTACTTCCACTAGGAAAAGAACCTGCCTGATTTCTGAGTGAAGTTGCCTTGCTGGTCTTTTAAACTGTTGATCAGCCCCAGCCAGGTTGACTCAGTCCTGCACACACACACACACACACACACACACACACACACACACACACACACACGGGAATGACCTCTGCTGGTTGGAGGACTCTCAGCAGCTCTGAAATTAGGAGCTGAGATTTCTGAGAATATGTAAAGGAGACCACTGGTGGGCAGGGAGTGGGGCACTAACAGATGTGTCTAGTCTGGGTTCTGGTGGGGCTTAGACCAATCTGGGGGGGGGCGCATACAGCTGCCTCAGTGAGAGAAGCAGCCATCTCCTGAACTAGCTTCCCTTTGCTCCAGTCAGGGCTGGTGTACACGGAGGAGGAATGGGAGCGAGAGTGGACAGAGCTGCTGAAGCTGGCCTCCAGTGAGCCTCGCACACACTTCAGCAAGAACAGCGGCACAGGCGGTGGGTAAGTGCCACCCTGCTCCCCCCACAGGGCCTCAAATAGCATGGGAAGGAGGGGAAGTGTTCCAGTATGTGACCAGGACAGAAATATCCATTCTAAACGAGGCTGCATGGATGGTAGGGGAAAGCTGGACATATATCCACACACACACACACATATCTCATGACAGTTGCCTAGTACTGTCTTCCTCAGGCCTCGTCATACAGAACTGGCAGTGACAGGGATGGGACTCGGGAAATAGCCAGGCCCGGAAGTGACCCCTGACAGAGGTTGTCCCCACAAATGCCAATGCACACACAAGGTTCTGAAGACACTAACTGCTAGGTTTGGGGGTTTTTATTTGGGGGGTGGGAAGTCCCTAACTAAATATCTATTTAGTTTTGGGTTTAAGTCACACTGAAAACAAAAGTCCAGAGAAGGGTTTTTATTTGGGGGGTGGGAAGTCCCTAACTAAATATCTATTTAATATCTATTTAGTTTTGGGTTTAAGTCACACTGAAAACAAAAGTCCAGAGATGGACTCTGTGGACATTACATGTGTTCCTGATGCAAAGGCTTTGCTCATTCAGTGCATTGAGGAGTAGCTTGATCCTACAGGTCAGCTCTGAGGCTCTGCTGTGGGAGTGAAGAGTGGCCACACCAACTTCAAAGGGTCCATGCTTTGCTTTGTACTGCTTTGATACTGAAGGTAGAGATGTTACCCCTGAAAAGGTCTCTGCCACACCAGAAATGTGAGCAAAAGGAGACACAAGAGGATCAGAGACCTGCATACCTCCCGGCCAACCTCAGATTCCCTGAGACCCCACCTGGGCCCTCACCACCCACCACAGTGGGCCTGATGCCCTCTGGGCCCAGCTTTCTCAAGGTTTCCAGCTGGAAGACAGACTCTAACAGGGGACTGTGATTCAAGATGAGACTCTGCAGTACAGAAACCCACTATCCCAATACTTCTTGTGGCTTTGTTTTAGTGATCTGGCATTCAGTGCCAACAGTCCATCTTGCATAGGCACAAGCATCTTTGAACATTTGGAGACAGACATTCTGAAGACTGTTATGAAAACTCAGCTCTTGTTTGTTCTGTACCTGTCAAGTCCTGGATGTTCCTCAGTGTCTCCTTTACTGTTATTCCCACAAGTGCCCCAGAGAAGAGAAATGTCTGACAGATGCTGAAGACTGGACCATCAGGACCTCTTCCAGGGAAGTACAGGGAGAGGAAAAGATAGCAGCGATAATAGCAATAACAATGAGCAAGCTAGTATAGATTCCACTACTATAACAAATTAACTGAGATTGAGATTATGAAAAAAGAGGTTTATTTTATAATTTAGGGAATAAGAAAAAAAGTGCACACAAATTTTAAATATTTTTATTTACAGTTGGTTGAATCTTCAGATATAGAATACAGAAATGTGTTTTGTTTCGGGTTTTTAGTGTGTTCAGTGTGTGTATGTATGTTTGCGTGTGTGGGCACACGTGCCCATGTGCATGTAGAAGCCCAAAGTTAATGTCCGATGTTTTCCTCAGTTGCTCCCCACTTTACTGAGGCAGGGTCTCTTGCTGAACCTAGATCTCACTGATTTAGCCAGTCTTAGGTAGCCAGATTTCCCTGGGGATCCCCTGTCCTCCCTCCCAAGTGCTGAATTACTGATGGCCACCATACCTGTCTGGCTTTTACCTTGGTTCTGGGGATCCAAATTTCAGTCTCCACACTTGCACAACAAGTGCTTTATCCAATGATCGTCTCCCCAGCCGAAGATGTATGTTTAAATACATGTTTTAAGCATTCCTCTCCCACTTTTAGTTTCCTAAAAATTGGAGAGATGGCTCAGCTGTTAAAAGCACTGATTGCTCTATCAGAGAGCAAGATTCCCAGCACCCACTTGGCAGCTATAACTGTCTGTAACTCCAGTTCCAGGGGAATCTGAAGCTCTCTTGTGATCTCCTTGTGCATTGCATGATACTGGTGCACTTGCATGCATGCAGGCAATACACTCATACACATAAAAATATAATAATAAATAATTTTTTAAAATTTTACCTTCAAGCCATTAGGTGGGCAAAACAGAGTGGGGCATCCACAGTGTCATCAAACAGGACTATAGCAGGTGTCAGAGCCAAATAGGGTGGAGAGGGAGAGATGGTGATATAAAATGGGAGACTGCTGGGAGACTGATCAAACAAGTGAGGAAAATAAAGATGTGTGTGCTGGGAGGTGGGAGGGACTTGGACCATCTTCTTACACCAAGGAGCAAGGAAGCGATTCAAAAGAATGACAGGATGCATCATAAAAATAGATGCAGCAAGGATAAGCTTGAAAATAAAGATGTGTGTGCTGGGAGGTGAGAGGGACTTGGACCATCTTCTTACACCAAGGAGCAAGGAAGCAATTCAAAAGAATGACAGGATGCATCATAAAAATAGATGCAGCAAGGATAAGCCAAATTGACCACATCAAAGAGATCTGAGCATCATGATATCACAAATGGATTAGAAAACGTAGAATAAAATGGAAAATCAGAAATCCACAGTGAGATCAACAAGTGTGTGAAAGTTTGGGAAGGAATAAAGATCAGCAGAGGTTCAGAGCTCCTCCCTATAAAACACTCATTGATTAAAAAGGTGACATGAGGAGCTGGAGAGATGGCTCAGTGGTTAAGAACACTGACTGTTCTTGCATAAGACCTGGGTTTGAATCCCAGCACCCACATGGCAGCTAACAACTGTCCAAAACTCCAGTTCCAGGGGATCCGACAGCCTCTGTCCTCGGCAGGCATTGCACGACACGGGTGCACTTACCTACATGCAGGCAATACATGTGTACACATAAAATAAAAATAATAAATATTTTTTAAAAGGTGACATGAAGCTGGGCGTGGTGGCACAAGCCTTTAATCCCAGCACTTGGGAGTCAGAGGCAGGTGGATCTCTGTGAGTTCAAGGCCAGCCTGGTCTACATAGTGAGTTCCAGGACAGCTGGGGCTACAGAGAGACCCTGTCTCAAAACGACCGAAAAAAAAAAAGGTGACATGAGCAGCTCCACACTGTGAGGCAGAAGAGCCTAAACAGTGACCAAGTCACCACCCCATCCCCCGACACCCCGTAACAGGACAACCATCACATCTACCTGAGAGGCCAGCGGAGAAGGACTCAGTAGTCCCCAGTCTAATGTCATGGTGAGGAGATGGAGAAACCAGACTGAGGAAGTTCTGCAAGATACCTGCCCAGTACCCTTCAGGTTTTCAGGACAGTTATGGAAATCAAGGGAATCCTGACAAGTATTCCTGACCAAAGGAAACTGAAAAGACCTCAGCGGAAAGCAACCCATGACCTGGAGTGAAACCTGCATCTTTAGAGGCGTTGCTTAGAAAGCTGGCACTCCCCACCCCTATGAGCAGGCCTGGTGGGTAGATGGTAAATGGTAGATGGTGGTTTTAATGGCTGTGTCCTGGTATATAGAAGAATGCCCTGTGCACAGAAAATGTGCTGACCCCTTTCAGAGCAAAGAGGCAGCAGGCTGGAGATTCACTTTCAAATGGTTCCAGAAGTTACTATATGTGTAACCTCTTTGTGGGTTTTGATTGCTGCTACATTTTTTAAAATGTTAAGTATGTTGAATCATCAAAGAAAAAGAAGAAATAAGAAAAAACTTTAGTGTAACATCAGAGCTCCCCAGAAGGTACTTCTTAGGATTTATGGCCTTTTTTCTAGAAGTAATCAAAGCAGTCAGCCAAGAGCTGTGTTCACGGAGCTGATTCCCAGTCATCCCAGGCCCTACAGTGGTCCCTCTTCCCTTGATGTCTTCAGGACATTGATCCCATGGCCCCCAGGATACTGAAGCTCAAGAATGCTGTGGTCCTTACCTACAACATGTAATGTTTGCATAGAACCCAGTACCTCTGCCATGTACTGTCATCATCTCTAGGGAACTTCTACTCCTAAAGCAAGGCAGACTTACATGTGCCTCCATTCACATGACTCAGGACAGGGCTTGGAGCACAGCAAATTCAAGTCTGCTTTCTACCATTTTCAGGTATTTTTTAAAGAAAACATTTTTCGCCCTCAGATACAGATACAGATACAGATACAGAGCACACAGATGTGGAGGGCCAGGTGCACTCTAGAATCCACATTGCTGGCTCTGGCCCCACCTGCTCCAGGCCTCAAAATCCCCCTCATTGCATCCTGGACACTCAGGCAAGTCCCAGAACTGCCTGGGTGTCCCAGCTGGGCACCCCCACTGCACATGCTGCAGCCCTGCCATCTGTGAGCTCTGGCTCTCCTCCCATGCACTCTTCCCTTTGAGGGTGACCCTGTTGTTGAGGGACACCTGGACCACAGTCTTCTGCCCCAGTGTCTCACAGTATGAATGAAAGCACATCTTGAAAGCCCTCTTACCTGAGGCTGGGCATAGTGAAGGGCTCCACAGTCATTCTCCTCCCACCCTCAAGAGGAACTCTCACTGACTTCTTCCTCTCACTGACCTTTTCCAGTGAGACTTTCCTAGAAGGTACCTCAGTAATAGATCCTGTGGAGTCCGTGCCCTTGGGCGTCCTGAGTCCCTGAGGGATGAGGCTTCAGCCTGAGCCACAGAATGTAGGCATGGGCAGAAAAGGAGGCCCATTCCCTCAGCCCCACTGCATCCTAAAGACCCAGAGAACCAGTCAGTTGCCACAGGCTTGGGCAGGCTGCCTCTGCCTGCAAAGACCCCATTTACTGCTGGCCCTTATCCGCAGGTTCCTCCAGACTTGTCTACTAAGGCTGCCCGAGCTGGCATGGGGATAGGGAGTAGGCACTCGAGCACTTGCTGTTGGCTCATGATGTGGCTACCCAGGATCCCAGAGATAGGTTCCAGTGTTTGGGGGTGCTCAGACCCTACTCAGAGATTTCTCTGCTTTCTCCATGCGTACCCCAGTCTATTCAAGTGACGGTACCACTCTACTTCATTTCCTAGTGTGGACAATGCAGAGGACCCCGTGTACGAAAGCCTAGAAGAGTTCCATGTCTTCGTCCTAGCCCACATACTACGAAGACCGATCGTGGTGGTGGCAGACACCATGCTAAGGGACTCAGGCGGAGAAGGTAAGCTCCTCAAGGAACCGTGTTTAATGGTGGCCCAGAAAGTGTGACATCACCCATGTGCAGGAGAGTCACATGAAGGCAGAGCTCCAGAGGCTACCATAACCCTCTGAGAAGTACACAGAAATGGCTTCATTGTTACAGGTGTTTCTTCTTCCTCTGGGGGGCAGCAGGGCTTGAAAAATCTGGCAGAGCACCACAGATAGCCCACACCCCTTTAAAAGCCCCAGGACTCATTCCAGGACCTCTCCATCACCCTGTCCCCTGCCACCCCTCTGCGGGATACATAGAGAAAAGAAAGGAAGGCAGAATGTGGAGGCCCTGGTAGGGTGCTGGAGAATCAGGACCAACAGGGGTAGCTGGGCACCAGTTGTCTGCCCACTGAGAGCCAGGTATCATGCTTGACTTCTTGAATGTTACCTCCCAGGCCCTTCATATAACTTCCCCAGACAGATGAGGACACTGAAGCCCAGTGAGGCTAAGTTCAGGTTCAGCCTGGGACAGGGAGTGTTCCTCACATGTCCTCCCTAGGCCTGCAGCTTCCTGGAGTCACCAGAGCTGTAATGGTGCCTGGGAGTCCATAGAGTGAGCCATGTTCTCTGAAGACACAGGAAAGAGGAAGAGCCAGGAAGGGCGTCCCTAGGTCCCTGTCCCACTCAGCAGGTGGCACTCAGAACACCCACCCCAATGTTTCATTTCCCATTCTCCTCAGTGACAGCATGCAAGCTAGTTCCCTCTTGCTGCCACCATTCCTCATTTGTCACCTCTAAAGATGGCATTGTCCACAAAGTCTTCTTACTACAGAATGCCAGATGAGTGGCCCTGTGACATGTCCTTCCACCTCACTTAAATTTAAATGTATACCCTAGCAGAGGCCATGGGTCTCTGGGAGCCTCACCCATTAAGCATCAATCTTCATGCCAGAGAAAGTCCAACAGAGCCATGGCTGCTGTTTGAGGGGCTGGTGGATCATGCGCCCTGCCTGGTGCCACTCCCACCCTGCTGCCCAGAGTAGGCAATATTCTTTAGGATCAAAACAGCAGCTAGTCTAGGGGTATGGCTCAATGGGTAGAGTACTTGACTAGCATGCGCTAAGCCTTGGGTTCCATCCCCAGCACCATAGAAGCTGGACATGGTGGTGCATGCCTGTAATCCCAGCACTCTGGGAGGTAGAGGCAGAAGGATCAGAAATTCAAGGTCATCCTCAGCTATATCATGTTTGCAACCAGCTTGGGCTACATAAGACCCTGTCTCTAGAAAAAGAAAAATCCAGTTTCTGCAGGCAGGTTTGCAGAGGTGGTTTTGTTCAAGGGTTTCAGGTTTCTCTTCCCTCATTCTTCATGAGTAGGGAAATGAACAAGATGGTGTCTTATTAAACAAAGATCGAATCTCCATGTCTCATGTCCCACCTGACCTACAGCTAGCTGGTTCCTTCCCATTTGGTAGAAGAGGTTCTCAATGAGTACACCAGGCACACTCAGGAAGGGGAGGTCCTGCTTGTGTGCAAGATTTCGGTGACACTAGGAGAGAAGGGATAGTATGGGCTTCTAGACAAGCTGTTAGTGGATATTACTGCTCATCATCTTGGGTGATGGTCTTGACCTAACTGTGCCACTCCTCTCATTACTATGCGGGTTTTGGGAGCAAGCCATCCTACAGATTACCTTGCAAACCTTCAGCCCTAGCTCTGAACACTGTCTGATTCTACTCCTCCCCCTCCCCTCCCCTCCCTCTCCCACCATCAACCCTCCCCTCCCTTTCCATCTTTTATACTCCCTTCCCCAACCCTCCCCTCCACCTCCACCCGTCTTTGTTCATAGCATTTGCACCCATCCCGTTTGGAGGAATCTACCTGCCCTTGGAGGTTCCTCCCAACCGGTGCCACTGCTCCCCCCTGGTTCTGGCCTACGATCAGGCGCACTTCTCAGCCCTTGTGTCCATGGAGCAGAGAGACCAACAAAGAGAACAAGGTATGTCCAGCTCCTGAGATGGAGTGGGGTGGCAAGGGTGAAAGAGGCACTGGAAATGCCATGCAGACAGCGTCCTGGAGCACATGCATACAAGCAGCATGGTTTCTGCAGTGCTCAAAAGGTATGCCACTGTGTTCACTAAAAATAGCTGTGTTAGAGACAACATTCCATGTAAACCACTGTGCATCTGATAACACTGCCACCCTCACATCTCCTTAACTGTTGTTTTCCTGTCTCAGGCATATGTAAATTTTCTATATTTGAATTAATTCTTAACTGATACATGAAATCACAATCACGTGTATTTACATTTGGTTCATGTACACACTATGTAATGTTGAAAGCAGGGCAAACACGTCTCTCTCCTCAAGCATTTATCATTTCTGTATGTGAAAACATTCAAAATCCTTGCTTCTAGCCTATTGAAATATATATATATATATATATATATATATATATGTATTGTCTGTGTTCCAGGGGGATTTTTAAATCTAAAACTAATTGTTAATATTCGTATATATTAGATGTAATTGGAAAACAAAGTCCCTCCAGAGCTTTTTTGTGGGGGGGGTGTCTTTTTGAGATAGGCTCTCCCTATAGCCACAGCTGGCCTGGAACTCACTATGGAGACCAGACTGGCCTCAGTCTCACAGAGATCTGCCCTCCTTTGCCTCTGGAGTGCTGGGACTAAAGGTGTTGGCTTCCCACCACCTGGATTTATAAATATTTATTGGAACACAGTCATGCTCATTCCCTGACATTTTGCCTATGGCTGCTTTGCATTGTAGCAGCAGAGTCCAATAGCAACACAGAGTGTGTGGCCTGCAAAGCCTTAAATGTTTATTTACTAGCAATTGTTCATGAAAGGTTTGCCCACTCCTGCTGTAGCTCAAGTGTCTGAACCAAGTCAATGCTGTTTTTTAAATCGTCATAGCCAGGGATCCTGCAAGTAGCTCTTTCGGTGCTGATGGACTGACAAACCTAGTGCTACCAGCTACATACTGCACAACTCCAGCTCCCAGGGCTTCTTTGCAGTCAGTGCACCATCTTTGCTGGAAAATGGGGCCTTTGGGTTGAAATGGCTGCTGCTCTCTCATGTTAGCATGATGGATATGTGGATGTCAGAGTGAAATAGCAGGCCTTTATTATAGCCACTCTTATTTCCAGTATAAGCAGATTCCCCCTGGCCAGGGTGACTAAAGGACAGGGGGAATGACATCTTTTCAAGGTTCCTAGGAAACCCCAAATGTCTGGTCAAGGGCTGCCATAGGCAGGAAGTTGAGGGTATCAGTGTCCACCCTGACCTTTTCTACTCTGAGTATATCAGAGCTTCCACATGATGTCCCTTCTTGTGGGCAGCTGGAAAGGTAGACACAGACAAATGACCAGAATTCTGCCCCCCTGCAGCTGTCACAAAGCACCCCCTCCACATCTGTCCCTGGCCTGACAGTGAATCTAAGACTAAACTGTTCTATGAGATGGAATCTGAAACCTGGAAATGGGGGCATCCCTGGCCCCCTTCCCAGAAGTCAAACCACACCCCAGCCTACACACAGGTGCATCTGAATGTAGGTTCAAGAAGGCGAAGGAGACAAGCTACAACCAGGGTAGTAGACTGTTTGTCACCCTCCCTTGTCACTCACAGATTTCCTCTGGCCTCCAAAAGAGGCTCTTCATCATTGAAGCCCAGAAGGGCTCAGATGCTTTTCCCTCATCTCTGTTTTGTTTTCAATGGTACCTACACCCATTCCTGGAGTTTAATTGGGTTTTGAGTGGTTTGGCTTGGTTTGGTTTGGTTTGGTTTGGTTTGGTTTGATCTTAGCTGGGGTGCCCCTGTGTTATCCAGGATGGCCTCCAAACTCCTGGGCTCAAGCAATCCACCTGCCTGTTTCTCAAGTTCCTGAGACCACATACAAGTGCAGGCCACTACACTTGGCTCTTTCGAGGCTTTTAGCTCTTCACAAAGCTTACTGCAGCCCTCACAGGACAAAAGAACCTTCCTCAGGACATAGTTCCAAGACCAGGATATGTCTTGGCCTTTTTGTCACATGTCCTGAGAGTCCCTGGAGTTCACAGTCCCAGCCCCCTCCCAGAGGTCTCTCAGGCTTCCAGATTCATCTTCCAGGTGCCTTGATGGTGGCTGTGAAGCTCCCTGCAGGGAAATGAGAGCTTTGGAATGGCACTGTCATGTCAGCCCTACAGGGAATGTGGCAGAAGTGTGGCTGGTTTCAAACTGGGTTCTGCCCCACAAGCGTCATGCAGATGACTGTTGGTTTCTGTGTCACTTCCATGGCAGTAGCTGCTGGTGAGTTGCCCCAGTCCTGTGGGTCCTACCTCCAAAGCCGCCAGGTGCCCAGCCATGTACAGTTCCCAGCAGTCCTCAAATGCCCAGCAGGGTAGGCTGAGGTGAGCGGCTCCATGGGTGGCTGGCTCCATGAGTGCTCAAGCCCTGGAGAGGCCAGGGGCCTGGAGAGGACATAGACTCTGCTGAGGCTGAGTCTTTACCAAGGTAGCTTGAGGCTCAGCAGCAAAGCTAGCAGGAATATCCCCTTCCTTCTTCATGACTTCACGCATAGATTTACTGTTACTGTAGACCTAAAAACTTTTGTCATAAAATTAATTTTCTTTCCTTATTAGGTTGAGAATTTCCCCTTTGCACTTGAAGGAAATGCTTCCTGACTTCTTGCCAGTCTGAATTCCAGCATCACTACCCTTGTGCTTCAGGGCCTTTATTAAGATAAGGATGGCCTGAGCACAAGCACTAAGATCCTGGACAGTTGGCAGGTAGCATCTGCAGTGTGGGCACACTGGACAAAGGGGTGCTTCATGTGGCTTTTGAGGTATTTCACACAACTCAGAATAATGCACAGTTTCAGCTTGATAAGTGTTTATTTCTGGAATTTTCTATTCAGTACTTTAAACTGTGATTGCTATAATTGAAACTGCAGAAGCTATAGATGAGGGAGCTCCCACTTGACTCGTCTATCCCCTGTGCCACCCTCACCCTGACCTGGGGCAGCACTTGCTTGGCAGCTGGGAACTGAGAGGAGCAGCTCAGCTCTCTGCTCCTTACAATGGCTTGAGATCCAACATTCTGTGACCCTAGGACAAGGGACAGTTCATGAAAACTTGCGAAGTGCCAGATACATCTAGTTTAGAAGACTTGATGATGTCAACATTCCTCCATAGAGTTTTTGCCACAGACTAGAGAGAGGGACCTGCAAGTCATGACACAGGGCTAACAGGTGCCAAGCATGGGGGAAAGTGATTATTCCAATGGAAGAGCAGGTGGATTGGCGGCGGGGGGGGAGGGGGTCGGAACTGGCCTAGGAGGCCAAGCATGATTCAGGGGTGGGTACCTGGAAAGAGATGCTAGGCTTAGGAGCAAAGTAGGCCCCTAAGGTCCAGAGCAAGGCAGAGTGAGCCCATGCTGTCCAGAGCAGAGCAAAGAGACCCAGTGCTGTTCAGAGCAAGGTTTGTGACACCCTCATCGTACATGCAGGACACATTCCTCCTTCCCCAGGACTCATTCTCCTCACCCTTTCTCTATATTTAGCTATTTTTTGCTTGCCATGTTCCAGGACATCACCACTTCCTTTAGAAAGCGACCATGTTGAGTGGTCCCTACCAATCACTGACACCCACTGGTCTTCCAGAATCTTTGGAGAGCATCACTGCCTGCCTCAAGCCAGACTTATTCCCTGATCCTCAAACTTTGTGCACAAATAAATGCAAAGGCCATGGGTGCCTCCATTCCTGGCCACTGTTGGTGCCTCAAGGCATGCCATAGTCTGTTGCTGTGATGGCCATGGCCCAAGTATGTCTACTCCAGGGCTCCTCCTGTGCTCTCCCTCCTACACCACAGCAGAGGCTGAAGGAGTCACTGGAGGTACCAGATCCTAGCATGTGATGGGAGCAAGCTACCCAGCGAACACAGCCAACCCTCCTCCCAGCCTTTACAGCACAAAGGAAGTGGTATAGAAGGCCATAATGGAAGTTCCCTGAGAAAGCTGTGTCCTGCCGGGTGTGCCATTGCTGCCTCTTATTAGGCATGCTTGAGCAAAGTGGTCCAGGCTGGTATAACATTGTCATGCATTTTCAAGGGCCCAGGCTCCACCATCTTTATCATGTCATCCCAACTTCATGATGATATGATCAGTGCTAAAGCTCCAGGCATCACATCGACATTCCAGTCTGGGCCGAATGCCTTTTGTTCCTAAACCTGTCTTTCCATTTGGGAAGAAAGGCTCTCCCTCCTCAAGGACTTGTGCTGGCAACTTACCACCCATAGCTAAGATTCCCCCACTTGGCATTTTCTGGCTATGAAGCAGACTGAGAAGTGAATATAGTGGAGGAAGGAGGTGGTATTTCTAGGCAGTTACTCTGGGAATCACACTCTCTCACTAGCAGCAGCCGCTCATCCGGGGAAAGGCCCAAGTACAGAAATAGACTCTTTACCAGCAAGTCTTGTCTGGAAACATCACGACTGGCTGCTGAACTCTGTGTTGAATGAGTGACCTACTCCCCTAAAAAGTCAGGGTGCCAGAGGGTCATAACCACTGTCGGTGAGTGCAGGCTGTCCCCTGATGGTCACTCACACACTCTACAGAGTCAAAAGTGGAGTGTACCCAAGGCCCTGGCCGTGGCCCCCAGCAGCTGACTCAGAGCCACAGTCCTGTGCCTCCCGCAGCTCCTGGTGGCCTCCTATATAGACACCTTTCTCTCCTGCAGCCAAGGGCCCAGCTAGAGCCTCCCAGTCAGCAGCAGAGCTCTAGGGCCACCTGGCTATTCTGGACTCTACCCCAGTGCCACCCAGGTTAGCAGAAGCAAGGAAGATGAAGTCCCCTGGAGTCAGCATCCCCACCTCATCCTGTCCTTGATGGGAGGCAACTGAGTAAGAGGAGCCTGGGTAAGTGGCCTCCTCCAGCTGCTGGCCTGTCCTGGCCTCTCACCCTCACAGGATGCCCTGACTTTGGTAGAATGTCTTCACAGGAAACAGC